TCTCTCTCTCTCTCTCTCTCTCTCTCTCTCTCTCTCTCTCTCTCTCTCTCTCTCTCTCTCTGTCTCTTGCATTTGCGCGTTCACTTACAGTATGAAGCTATGATTCTTTGCTGTGATCTGAGGACACCCTGAATTCTTACTGCTGTGTGAGCCTCGGCAGAAGGATGTATGCCAGTGCAAGAGCTTGGTGAACTGAGGTGCTGTAGCTCTAGCTCCCAGCTCTTCCCTCAGCTCTCCTAGTTATTACATCTATGACCTTGGCCATGTCCTTTCCCCTTGCTATTCCACTACTCAAATTTTACTCCACACACCTCTAAAAATGATATGATCCACCAGGAACAAGGTCTCCTGTAGCCCAGGCTGAACTTGATGTCTAGTTGAGGGTGACCTTGAACTCCTGAAATAACAGGCATCTGCTGCTGTGTGGTTCTGGGGAATTGAGTCCACAGTTTCATGCACACTGGCCTGTGATGTATTAACTGGTTACATCCCTAGTCCTGGATCACCAATCAACAGTGTTTTCTTAGTCACTAGAGGCTCTGCCAACTCTTGGAGTGTTGGTTACTGTCTGTGCACATACACACAACTACTCCTCACACGACACTCCACAGAGGGACATGGCAAATGCCTGGAAATTAATAAACTGTGGATTCAATCCCAGCAGCTTCACAAGCACATTGAAACAATGAGCTGGTCAAAGCAAGACTAAACCTGCTGGGTAAACCAGTTCATTTCTTGGGGGTTGGGAAGAGGCAGGGGGCGGGGCTGGGAAGAAAGGGTAGGGAAAGACCAGAATGTGTAGGAGAGGAGACTGATAAACTGAAGACTTAATGGGAAAATTATAGTGGAATCACGAATCATGCCCAGTATAGCAGCTCCTATTTTCTTATAAGTGGAGTGTGGGCAACAGGAAGGCTTGTCCTTAAGTTGTGAAGGAGTTTAATGATCCATGAGAGGACTTCTCAGGGTAGGAAAGTGGTCATTAAAGGGTGGGGTGAGGCAAACGGATTAAACAATAAAACTTCGAACATTTTTGAGGGGGTAAGTGCAAAAGGGTCTTTGGTGATTCCATGGTCTTGGAAAGAAACAGAGCCAGTGGCTTCAGGTTCAATCCTAAAACTTTACATGAAAACTTAAAAAAAAAAGGAAATTCTATTATTACAAATCACATCCAGAATCATGTCTATCTCTGAGTGTTCGTGTGTGTGTCTCTCTGTGTGTGTGTGTTTGTGTCTGTGAGCTTAAGGTGACTTATAGCCCATTCTTTGAAAAAAAAAAGATTGTTAGAAAAAGCAAGGATGTTTGCTATGACAAGGCTAGAAAGAATAAAAGACATAGAAAATATGTTAAAAAATTGGAAAATTCTATGTAACTCCATGTTTCAATTAGTTAATCTCATCTTTTGATTGAATGTATACATTATTTAATTTGTCCATTCCAGTATTTTTTCATCAATGGTATTGTTATTTCTCTGGTACTAATTTGAGTACTGCGTGGTATGTCAGGGAGGATAAAATCTAGGGAATCTAGAAAGCAAGCATGATTCTTAATCTGAGGCATCTGGAATTTAGTTGAGAAGATGACCAACCTTGGGACACTTTCTACAATTTCAAAATATCATGACTTTGCCTGAGAGACAGCCAGAGATTTGAGGAAGGTTTCCTGGAAAGACCTTCAAGAAGTGAGTATTTAAATTAGGAAAAAAGTGATGCCAGTTTGTATTTCATGAAATTCTTATTTTGGGAATCTCTGAGGTTGATTGTTGATGGCTTTACACAGGAATAGAGCATATATGGCATTGTGAAATAGAGTACTCAGTGTTACCTTTCAAAGAGGGAAGAAGAGCATAGGTGCAGGGTTTACCAGAAGGACTTGACTTCCATTTCTGAGCATCCTCTGCTTCCCTAGCCATTGTGCACTGTTCAAGGATCTACACTTGACCTCTGGCTGGTCCACCAGCTTGGAAGGGTGATGACTTTCCTCTGGCAATCTAGTTTCTTTTCCCAGTTCTCTGAAGCTCTTAGCAGAACACAATGTCCGATAAGTATCAGGAAGTGTGTGTGTGTATGTGTGTGTGTGTGTGTGTGTGTGTGTGTGTATGTGTGTGTGTGTGATATTAACTTTTCACTGTTTATTTTGCTTATTTACAGCTATATATCCAGAGGTTAGTTGTTAATTGTGCCAAGTGTTTCATGATGACAGGTAGACAGTCAAGGAAATACAGTGGTAATCAGTCACACTAGTGTGCAAGCAAAGTACACAGGTGCCTCTGTACCTGAGGATGCCAAGGGAGGGATTTGACGACAGACATGTGTACCCAAAGCCAAGTTCCTACCCAGAAGCCTATAGTGTGAGCATATCTGAACATCTAGCATCACTACTGTGCTGTGCGCTGGACTTTGAGATGGCAGGTCTAGAACACTTGGTAGCCCTGCAGGTGATTGATGATAGATGGGTTCTTTTGCAACTTTTCCTTAGGGTTTGAGAGAATACAGAAGAATTTGGAGGTTGGATTTCAGTGTCTGAGTTTTATCTTATAACAGGAGGTATTAGAGATCTTTAACAAGAAGGTTATACTTGGGGAAGAGCTTGTCAGCATCCAGGCAGCAGCTTGCAGAAGAAAGGTAGGAGCTTCACAAGCATTTGGGTTGCTGAGATTGCTATGGTGACAGGAAGGGAGGAAGGAGGATCGATATGAGAGGTGCTTTGAATAAATGCATCTTAGGAACCAACCTAAGGATGTTCTTGGAAAAGACCCCTTTTCAAGTTAGGTAAGTCATGTACATCAGATGTTTTCTGACTTATTTTTGGCTATGAGTTTTTTAATTGCAAGAAATATCTAGTATTTCCATAAGGCAGGCGTTTTCTGGCATTCGACTAGGGTAGTAGATTACCTAACAAAAGTCTTGACTATACTTTCAGTGGGTGGGGAACCTTCCAAAGCCAAGCTACACAGTTGGAGGTGCCTGTGGGGGCAGTGGATGGGAGGGGAAGGTACCTCTGCTAATGCCCCCAAGCCAAGAAAGTGCTAAGAAGCATGAGAGAGAAGTTGCCAACAGCAAAGGCTGGGTGACGATGTCCTGGCTGCACTCGTGGAGTGCTGGCTTGAGTTCAGTGAGGAGATTAAGCCAAAAATCTCTAAGGCTTTGTTGGGTTTGGCTAGCATTAAGCTAAGCAGGGAACAGCTCTTTGCCTTTTTGGTGAGAGGAGCCCAGGACGGTGTGTTTCTTCGTGAATTTTTATTAACAGGATTCAAGGCCCGGCAAGGTTGGTCTGACATACTGACCAAGGTTGGACCACTTTTCTTTGGTGATTCCTGGCCTGTGTGTTTTCTACTACATTGTTGACTCATGTTTCCTAAGCAGAAGATAAGATGAGGAAATGGAAGGAGGAAGATGAGGGGAAAATAGTTTTTCTCCTTTTTAATTTTTTCCTATATGAATGCAGGGCTTTCATGTAGACCTTAAATTCCCAAGTGAATTTGGTTCTTGCATATGCTTTAAACTCTACCAAGAAAATACATTAAGAAAGCAAACTCATTTTATGTACCTGCTCCCTCACTTGCCACGCCCTTCACCCCCACTCCTTCTGGCTTATGGATGGCCACTGTGTGCCCAGCTCTGGACAGCAGTAATGGAGAATACAGATTTATTCTGCCTTTTCTGTGCTCCAGGAAACCCAAAGCTGGTTGCTAAGAGATGTATGTTGTAAGTATTTTCTGGAAGTGCTATAAGGCAAATGGATTGGTACACAAAATATAGGTTGGGATTTGTTTATCATTTACTGGATGACTCTCTCTTATGTGCCAGGCATGGATGCAGAGACACATTAACTGGGAGAAAAGAGGAAACTGGGACCCAAAGAGAACGTACTAGGGAAGAAACATGGCTTACTCTCACTCTGCTGTGGATATAGAAAAGCTGAGGTCTGCTTGTTATAGTAGCAAGGCCACTATAGTAGAAAACGTAGTAGAAAAAGTATTCATGCTTGGATCCCTGCCCCTCAAGGTGCAGTGAGTTAGGATGGGGGTAGGAAAATAAAAAAAGACAAGATGACTTGAAGGGCTTAAAGTTGAGATTGGTCTCCCTCCTCTTTTCATTCCTCCAGGTCTGAGTTGTGATGTCACTCGGTATCATGGAGGGCATGCTCCTCAGAGTCACTTAGTGAACCTTCAGTCTACTAAGAAGTTCCTGAAGCTAGTCTGAAGAGGTGTGTGGCATCCAACTAACTCATCCTTTCTAAGAACCAGTTGGAAGACCTTGGGTGACATTCCTCTGCTGAGACACATGAGGGCGCTCAAGGCAACTAACGCTGTGGAGACATTTCCTAATTTTTTTTAAAAAAAGAAAGAAAGAAAGAACGAAAAAGGAAAAGAGAAGGAAAA